AAAAAAAAAGCGAATACTGAGCTAAAGTAGGAAGGAATGACGCGAAAAAAAGCTGAAATACACTGTGTCTAACTCCTTAAACTTTTTTATTCCCCTTACCACCCACGAGCCTCTATCTCGACTAACTATTAATTCACATTTGGTTATCTTCTACATCTTCCTAAACTACTTTAAACGTGGGTTACAGTAGCCAAAGAAATAATTACGATAAATGGGCATCTAACAAAGCTATTACATTATACCGTTAAGAACTATATGTAAAAATTAAAGTTACTCTCACATTTCGGCTGAAAAAGGAATGAAAGAAATTGTAAACATAAGGAGATAAAACATTAACAAACAATGTACTGTAGGTAACAATTCATGAACACAAGTGACTTAAAAGTTTACCATACGTTTATGGCGTTAGCTCAGATAATTCCCAAGTACCTCGGCATGACAAAGTGGCGCTGTGCCAAAGTCGCTGGAATTTCTTCCATTAGGAAAAATATGTCGTTCCCAAAAAACTCCACACTAAATTAGAAAAAAACCTGCCAATATCTCATTATGGTATTGTCTTTGTATAGGTATAACTGACCTTACGTTAATTGTAGAAGATAAATAGTGGCAGGATTTCTCAAACAACGAAAAAAATTCCCGCAATTTCACAGTTATTTACCCTAAAACTGCAGCTGAGCCTTGACAAGAAAAAACATACCAACTGAAATACCAGATACAACGTAAAAAATACAAAAACAAACACAAAAATAAATCATAAAATGAACATCGTTTAACACACTGTATATGTCACCATAAACGCGACATTTCAAGAAGCAAAACCTGTGTAAATGTTACGCAAAAGTGCCAGAGGTACTGGCCCTAAACTTCAGAACGCAGGCCTCATACTTTGAGGTAACTTTTCCGTTCCTAAACAAACCTCTAACACTTCTTATTACGCGAAGAACGGTAAAAAATCTTTCAGCACTATTACCGCTCAATACCAGAGAAGAGCTATAAAAAAACCAGTGAGAAAAGAGTCAAGAAATTAGCAAGCTACAACTCACTCCCAACCCTCCTAGAATTTTCAAATAAAAATCAAGCTAAGAAGTCCAAATCTTTCCTAACCACTTCAAACACTTAATTACTAAACACTGTTTACAACACAAGGTCTAGGATGACAACAAACTGCAACACCAAAGAACAAAAACATAAATTATGTCACTACCACCGTCCAAGATGAAGAAGAACCCACTGAGTTCCTTTTAAAGCGTTACTGAGGTATATTTATACCATCTCATGAAAAAATTATAAACTTCAATCATTGCCCACGGCAGTGTCTATCGTCCACATAAAGAAAACCAATGCAGTTCAAAAACCTGAGGTTCTGATCTCCATACAACAACGGTAGACCAACCTGTCTTTCAAGCGTTTGAGAAAAAAATATCCACTACTCCTGGGACTCAGAGGCAATCCTTTCAGCTAAAATACAGCCGTCAGCCTCATAGCAAGTACAAGGGTCCAAACTTCAAACATACAATGACAATATTATTCACAGTCACCGAAAATGAACCCAGCTTCGAACCAACACGTAGATGTTTCATAATGGTTCAACAGTGAATTCTCCTTTGGTTCCTGCAGCGAACAAAAAATTCGAACTTGGCGAGAAACCAGTGACGTTCCAGATCGAGTTGCTATTAATCGAGCTCGTCTTTACCTCATGTCTGAACGTCGAGCACTGTACTGGTCAGTAGTTAATACTTCGCGGGAAGATCGTAAAATGCTCTTCTCAGTACTGAAATCAAAAAACCGGTTGGCTTTTGTCCTCGAACAAAACAAGGTTTTTTCCAAACACTAGCTGCTAAGCAAATGGCAGCTTGAGTTTAGTCATTTAATTAGCTTTGGGCTAGGCTTTGTTCCCTCTTTCTAATTTTGGCTTGCAGCTATACTTCCATGTTGTTCATCATGGGCTTTTTCTTGCTAAGTATCAGCGTGGTCTCTCTTCAGAAAAGTTCCGTTCACGCTCAAGGACCGAGCATGATAGTGTTCAGCAGGGAATAACCTACTTTCTGCAGCCTACGTGACATGCGCTTTTCGACTGTGAAGCTATACTCGCATTCATTTCTATACAAATAAGATTTTTTTTGTTAGGAAACATGACTCCTTTTCATAAACCAGTCTGCAAGTGTTCGAAACCTTATGTAGTCGAACAGACGTTAGCTTTCACATTTTCCAACATCTTGAGCCACATCCCATCCCTTTTTTTTGTCCTTCATATTCCTATGGCAGCCAACCCACTTCAATCCGCTCATGAAATTTCGTCCTTTACAGCTACCACAGCCTTTACTTACTGACTGTAGAACTGAGAAGTCCATGTTTCACGAAATCCGCAGAGCAGAGGCTGGTTCTGAATGACGCACTGCCACACTCCTCAGACACTGGAGAAGCCTAAAAGTCGAGTGTAAAGACTGCTCTGCAAGAACTCAGCAACCAAGTAATCACTCACTACCGACAAAGAACCACTTTCCAACCAGTTACAAACAGATTTACAAAAAGCAACCAGTTTTCCGTGCAAACTAGAATCAGCCTTCGCACCTCCATTTCAAGTGAGAAGGGTATTTCATGGGAACCCCAAAGAGCGTTTGATGACCCTGACCCACACATCACTCGACTCCATACACAGGTATAATAATGTCGGATGGCGTACAGCTCAGACTGGCCCTGCACTGCCTCAGACCTATATGTCATGATTTGCCCAATCAACTTTCCAAAGTAAAAATTTATACCAGTTTTCGAGAGAAACGGGCTTGTTTTAGTGGATCACTATGCAATTGCTTAAACGGCCTGCATTTCGAAAACAATCTTTTGGCTTCACGAAACCCTCAACTGTGCTTTGCTTTTCCTTGATCTTGATGTGGATGTGCAATAACATATCTGTTAACAATTGTTTCTTCGCTTTTTAAATCGTTAACATAGAGCTTTTTTGAAGCAGCTCCACTCAAACTAAAACTTCAGAAAGTCCGAACAGTTTTGCAGTGCCTAATCCAAAATCAGTGAGCACTTCCAAGGCTCGTATCGTGTACATCTCCTAGTTCCGAGGTGAATAATTGGTCCAGAGGGACACCGACTGGCCTTCACAAATCAGTCTGAACAGCTAAGAGCAGTATGCCCCAGAAGCGGCAGAATCCTGCTTCATAAACCCATCAACCACTGACACTGAAAAGGAGTCTCATAAGAATCCAACCAACAAGAGAAAGCAAACCCCAAGAAGAGGCGCATTTCGAGATGAACTACTACGAGAGCTCTAAACAGAACCGTTTTTGATGACAAGAGCACGACGGCTAATGAAAGGTTTCCAAATCTTTACTGTGGTAACCTGGAAGTCTTACTCAATCCTCTACCACTTTCCTTACTTGATTATTGGTAAAAGATCTAAACAAA